ACTGTTATGAATCGTAATGTAAATATCTGATATGCAGGATGGTCTTAGGCGACCCCTGTGAAAGGGTCGTTTGACTGCCAAAGGGCTCGCGACCCACAGGTTGAGAACCTCGGGTCTATAATGAGATCTTAGGGCAGGGCTTTATACAATGCGATTACTGTGTGTGTAAGAAAAGACTCCAGAGAGCTCACATGGTCTCTCCCTCTCTCTTTCTGAGAACACACACAAGGAAGAGGCGATGTGAGCACACAGTGACATGGCAGCTGCCCACAAACCAGGAGGAGAGACTTCACCAGAAACCAACATGCTGGTGCCCAGATCTCAGCCGCCCAGCCTTCAGAACCGAGAAAACACATTTCTGTTGTTTAAGCCACCCAGTCTGTGGCATTTTGTTATGGCCTCCCAGGCTGCGTCAGCATGGAACACTATCAGAGTTGTCCCACCTCGAGGGTGAGGAAGCTGGGTAGTGAGTTCTCCATTCTCATTTGCCATTGGTTGAGGATGACTCCTTAGGGCAGTGATGGCGAACCTATGACACGCGTGTTAGAGGTGACATGCAAACTCATTTTTTTGGTTGATTTTTCTTTGTTAAATGGCATTTAAATATATAAAATAGATATCAAAAATATAAATCTTTGTTTTACTATGGTTGCAAATATCAAAAAATTTCTTTATGTGACATGGCACCAGAGTTAAGTTAGGGTTTTTCAAAATGTTGACACGCCGAGCTCAAAAGGTTCGCCATCACTGCCGTAGGGCATTGATTTCCTGGCCACTGTGGCCTGCACTCTGCAGGGGCTGAGCGTGCTCCTGCCCTCTGTGGACCAGGGGAGTCCTCACTCCGCCGGAGAGTCTCTTGCATGAAGAGCATTCGGCTTCCCTGCTGAGTGCTGAGAGGACATGGGCAGGGCACTCGTGTCCACCAGAATGCACGTCATCTCCCATTTATAGCTCTCTTTGCCCTTGTAATGACTCACTCAGCTAATCTGTTAGCTCTGTAAGGGTGTAGACAGTACCACCAGAGCCTTGCACTGAGCCTGACAAGTTATAGATGCTCAACAGATATTTAGTGACTGTTTGGATAAATGAATAAATGACCACCCTTTTCAGTAAGCACGTTATGCTGTGCACTTGTCAAATTACACATGCAGCATCAAACCTCTAAGTTATTGTGATAGCTGAATCCCCAGGCTCACATAAATCTTTTTTGAAAATGGGTTTTTATTGATTTTTAGAGAGAGAAGAGGAGAGAGAGTGAATGAAAGAGAGAGAAATATTGATATGAAGAGAAATATTGATTGTCACACATGCACACCCTCCAATCAGGGGTTGAACCCAGAACCTGGGCATGTGCCCTGACTGGGAATAAAACCAGTGACCTTTCAGTCCATGGGATGACACTCAACAACTGAGCCACTCCGGCCAGGGCAATCACTGATATTTCTTCACAAACCAATTAAGGGCCGAGTTGCTAGGCTTTCTATATAAAGCTTAGGTAGGATGTACATCTTTATCCCTTTGCAACAAATGCAGTCCTAACACCGTTTTTTCTAGAGCCAGGCCACTCCACATATGGTGCTAGGGTCTGGGCAGAAAAGACACACACAGCCCACCCTGCACAACCACCACCTGTCTCAGGCCCATGACTCTCTTGAGATGGCGCCCAGCTGCCCATCAGCATGAGCACAAACAGGTGGAGCACCCAGGGGTGGAGGTGGCGATAAGGAGCTCAGACTTTATCCTGAGGGCCTGGAAGTGGCGGAAGGCTTCCTAGCGTGCCAAAAGCAAGACTTCAGAAGGATGAATGGAACTGTGATTGTTTTAGGCAGGAATGGGATGGGGGAGACTGGAGACTGGAGGCTGGGAGACAAGAGAGGAGGAAAGAGGCCTGAGCCAACATGGCAGACAGAAACGTTGGGTCTGTGAGACACGTCCCATGGTGAGTCACTAGATCTACTCCCAGAAAACCATACTTCCAAATAGCCATCAGGTACCTGCCTCCCAGGCAGGAGGTGAAAGAAAAAACGCTCCACAGACTGCCATTTGTGGGATCCAGTGCAAGAAAGTAGTAAAGAAAATGCCAGTGTGATGCTGTGCAGTAGACCTGGAGGGTAATGAGCCCCTACCGGAGCAGGAGAACTAGAGCTCTCAGAGGCAGATTGCCAGGGAAACATGGAGCAGAAAGATTAAGTGATAAACTTTGGCATTTAGAAAAAAAAATAATAATAGGTGTTTGACAAGTTCAATCAAGCATTTGAATAGATTCATAGGGAACTGTGTAACTAAAAATAACAAGGTAATTATTAACTCCTGGAAAAATTTTAAAAAGTTGTTCAAGAAAGGAATAATAGTCATAGTAACTACCTGCCTCAACAGTGCATAATATTTGCATGCTTTTTCTTTATATAGAGACTAATGATTTAATTAAAAATTGGAAAGAGAGAGGAGGGAGTAAGTGAGGCCATAAGTTGTAAGACAATTACATTCTCATCTACTACAACAGGAAATTAGTTCCTGTGAAAACTGATATTTTGAATTATTGAGAAAGAAAGGTTTATTTAGTAAACAGTGTTGGAATTTCCAAATACAATCTATTAAAAATAATGTTAGACTCCTATCTATACTAATAAAAGGGTAATGTGCTAATTAGACCGGACATCCTTCCAGACAAAACATGGTGGCAGGGCCAAGGCAGAGGCAGTTAGGGGGATCAGGCTGGCAGGGGAGAGCAGTTAGGGGGATCAGGTCGGCAGGCAGGTGAGTGGTTAGGAGCCAGCG